TGGGATTAAATTATTTCCTGATCCCAAATGATTTTACTCCTGAGCTAAGGAGTAAGACCCTCGAGCTGGGAATCTTGTAGTTTCAGAAGAAATCAAAACATATTTCTGTATTCTGCTTTCTGCATTCATTTAAACCAAGAGTTGTGTGTAAAGATATCATTTGGTATATGAGTCCATGTGGTGGCTCTTTGGAAACATTAAAAGATCAGCCACAAACCCTGTTTGATGCAGAAAAAAATGACAAAAGTTAGGATTATTATAGAGGATCCTTAATTTATGCTTCAAGGAAAAATGCCTATTTGATTCTTTTAACATGTTTTCCATTTTAACTGCACCTATAAGGATTAAGATTCAGGTAAAACCTTAGTGAGTAATATCACTTAGATATTTGTAATGGAAAAATTGATTTAATTAAATTTCATCCTGCCAAACACTTGGCAAACAGAAGTTGTTCTGATAGTATCTGCCTATTTGTATGGTACAAATAATCTTGGTAAAAATATAAGGGATAATTATTTTGAGACAATGAAAAAAACAACTTGGGTGAACATAGGAAGTGGACTAGCAGTAGAGAGGGATAGACAAAAGTATGTTGTTTTGTTGTTGCTAAATAAGCAAATGTTGATAAATACTGTTTACACACTTTCTTATGATTTTGTGTGTCCTAGATCATGTTTCTTTGGATGTCATTTTGTTTTGAGAGATTTGTTTCTAGTGTTCTGTAAAATCATAAATCATATTATTTCAGTAATTGTTAGTTAAAAAAATACTTGTTTTTTAAAAGAGAGAAATCTCTTGTGGTTTGCTGCACCTGCAAATGACTCAAATGACTTAATTTATTAAGAGGAAAGACAACACCCAATTTCTTCAGTCACAGCTAAACATTTTCGTCTTTCAACACAAAAAGTTGTATGGTTTTGATTAGCAAGATACAACGATTTCTGACCTCTGTCTCTCTAATGGGAAGTACCAGATCCTGGACGGTCCATTTTGAATTACACACCGTCCCCTTTCTCTCCCCCCTCTACCCTCCGTCCTTAGTATGGTTGAATGCGATTAATTTATCCACCCAAGAAAGGGACCTGCATGTCAATGAAGACCATGGTTCAAAGTGGACATGTGACCAAGGCAGCAAATAAGATGTAAGGTTATCATATGTCTGGGTTTTCCTGGACATGTCTTCTTTTTTGGCCCCCTGTCCTTGTGTTGGGACAGGTTTTTGAAATGAGAGCAAATATCCGAGTTTTTGCTTTGCCTCTGCTTTCTCAAGCTGGCTGTTTGAGGCTGGGAGCAGCAGGCAAGGTGATTGGCTGTCAAGGGTCATGTGGCCTGCATGCGGGCCCAGCACACTCCCAGGTAAGAGACAGAGTGTGTGTGCGCGCGCGCGCATGTGCAGACAGCAGGGCTGGGGGGGGTAGGG